ACAGCCCAAGTTTGGTGCCGGTCGTGGTCTCGCAGGTCGTCCCCTAGGAAGGCCTGCTGCTGAACCCGTCGCCGCCCCAGCACCACAAGCGCCAACCGGCCTCAGCCTGGTGGAACGTGCGGAACTTGATGAGCTACGAGCAGAGGTTGAACGAGTACGGCGACAGAATGAAGATTTGCGTGGAGAAAGGACAAACCTCACTTCGCAGATCCATGAGCTCCAGAACCAGAACGCCCAACTCATCGAAGATCACACCCGCGACGTGCTCTCGATAAAGGCAAAGGAGACGCAGCTCGTCCGTGCGCGCTCAGACTTTGAAGCGTCCGAACAGACAGTACAGAACCAGCGCCGCGAGATTGATAGATTGAAGCGCGAACTCCTTAGGCAGGCGCGTTCAAATTCTCCGCCAGCTACAGACGTCGGAGACCAGATATACACTGACAACGGAGTTGGTAACACCAACGGCGCGCATTTCGGTGACTCTGGCTATGGCAGTCGGGCCATGCACCCAAGGCGAGAGAGGAGTTTTGCCAGTGGGCCAGGAAGCCCGGGCGGCGATGGTAAGGAGAACTTTGATTCTCTATCTCGCCCTGGCAGTAACTTGAGCGGAAAACTAAGTCCACGAGCAGATGGTCTGTCGTCGATGTCGCGTGATGGCAGGAGCCCAACAGAGAACGGAACAGCTCAACGGGTACCTTCCGCAGGAGCATCTGGTGCGGAAAGCTGGAAGCGCGCAGCAGAGGTTACCCAAAATCTCAAGCAGAGGATTGAGATGATGAAGGTCAGTTCCGACACCTCCCACTTTGAAGAAGACCGCCGTCTTTGTTTTACTTTTAACGACGAAGCTTACAATTCCTCAGGCTAAGCAAGGTATCGGACGGCCACAGCAATAGAATAGCGACTTGCCGATTCGACCTCATTTTCTCGACGAGCAGTCATCTTTGCGCTTGCACGAACGAATTGCCGCGCTTCACCCAAAATCGAGACGGGCCCACACAGATTTCCTCGAGGGCGCTCATGGGGCTTCGTAGCTCTTCGCTTATCTTAGATCCTGCATGCGCTCTGCATGCATTTGACTGTGAGCATCTTCAACGGCGTTGGTCTGGCTTGGGGCATGCATTTGTGTAATAGTGATGGGCAGGGCAGGGCATGAGGCTTAGGATAGACCAGGGGAGAAAAGCACGCGTGCAGGCTCTATGACTTGCATGGTCTTGGTGCAGAGGGGAGATGTCGTTTTTCCCTTCCTTGACTTCTTCAGAGATTCCCCACACGCTTGTGTTCATTATCGCGAATCAAATAATAGATTTTATAATCTTCACTCTGTCCTCTTTTCCTACTCTTCTTCGAGATACCCATCCCGTCACCGTATCGAAGCTATGACCCGTCCCTCGCCGGCCGCCTGCCCAACCAACAGAACGCGTCGCGTCAGCCCCAGGTTACCAGTCCACTGGGTCCTCACAAATAACTGTGCCGCAGACCGCAGCGACCACCCTTGGCAGCACACCCCGGACAATGAGATCGCAACGTTTTTTATCTGCGACAGCGACGTGCTGCAGGATCGCTTTCCCCACAGTAACCACCTCAATTCGATCTTGGACATAATACATCACGCATCGCCATACTACATCCTGCATACTGAATGCGCAGCACGCGCCACCTCTCCGTCTCAGCCATGATGGACCCGGGACTGTCGCGACGGGCGCGGAACGCGCTCGACGGGCTTGGGCCTGCGCTTGAGGGTACCGCACCAGCGTCGTTTGATCCTTTTGGCAATACGATTGATCTCAGTTGTGGGGGGAATGAGGTGTTGTATCCCGAGTTACAAAAGTTTCTGGGGGATGTTGTGAGGGATGTGGGGGCGGTTGAGGTATGTTCGCTCCGGTTTTGGAGATCGTCGGGATGCATTTATACAAGTATAGTTTTGCGCATGTACTAATTCGGAATGAATCTACGATAGACATTTACGTCCCCCACGGACTCTCTTAACGGCGGCGATTTAGGGTTGAGGAGTGCTCTTGCGGGGTTTTTCAATGCGTATTTCAAGCCTGTTCATGCTGTGAGGGCTGAACATATCGTTCTTACAGCTGGGACTACGGACGCGATTGAGAATGTTATCCATGCTGTTTGCGACGATGGGGATAGTGTGCTTGTTCCTGGTCCGAGTTGTCGTAAGTCTCCCACATTAGTATCCCCGGTCAAATCCATAATTTTGTCCAACCCTCACTTACAGAATTGCCCTCTTTGACTGATACAACCACAGCCACCCTCTCGCTCTTACTGAAGCGAAAAGCAAACGTAACACCCATCCCCGTCATCCCACCAACCCACATCCACTGGGACAACTACCTCGTCCCCTCCCTGCAAGCCGCCTACGATTTCTCCGACTACAGAACGCGGATTAAAGCTGTTTTGTTATCGAACCCAAACAACCCACTCTCCCGATGCTACCCCCGAGAAACGTTACGGGAGTTATTGGAATTCTGTCAGGAGAGGGGGTTGCATTTGATTGTTGATGAGGGGGCTGGGTTGATGGCATTAGATGGGAAGGAAGGGGGCGGAGGAGCTAAGAAGAAAAGAAATGGTGAGACGTTTGTGAGCGCGTTGTCGTTAACTGAGCCGCTGGTACCGGAGGGAGCCGTCAAGGTCGATCCGAGTCGTGTACATGTGGTGTGGGATGCAAGTCGATTATTCGGATTAGGTGGACTGAAAGTTGTAAGTCGTTCTTCTTGTTCCCTCAAAACTGCACGGGCTGGAATGACCAGGAGCTGATTTGAGTATTTCAGGGTTGCGTGGTATCCCAGCAAAATACCCCTCTCCTCTCCTCCCTGGCACTGACGGCTACACACCCCTCCTCCCTCTCGACCATCTATTTGACCTCCCTGCTTACATCATCCCTCCTCCCCTCCCTTCTCACTCAGAACACATCCCGCTTGTCAACTTCCTACAACATCCTCGCTTCCTTCCTCCGACGCCGCGACATCGAGACCGTGGTACCGACACACGGCCCCTTCCTCGCTGCTCAACTAGCAAAGAAGACTAGGACAGGAGAGGAGGAGAACGCTTTCTGGAGGGAGTTGGAAGGAAGAGGTGGGATCAAGGTTGCGCCTGGGCGGGCGTTCAATGGGGTGGAGAAGGATGGGGGGTGGGCGAGGGTGAATTTTGCGGTTAGGGAAGAGGTTATGCAGGAGGTGGTGGGGAAGCTGGAGGAGTTCTTTGGGGGGAGTGGATGAGGGCGGTCTTATCGTCTGGAGTGTAGAGCTGGGAGGTGGTTTGCTTGCTTGGCTTCGGCGCGTACTGTGCTGTTTGCGATGGGCGGGAACGTTGTGTTTGCTTTCCATGGTATAAGCGTAGGCGGAGCTCGTTTTCGTCGGAGTGTATAGAATGACATGTGTACGGTTTTCCTGGCTTTTGGATAGAGAAGCTTGCGCTGGATTGGAGTATCTAATAGTACAGTATCAGGTTTTCTTCCATGCCATGACTAAAGCGCGTGTATCCTCAAAGTGCGCCGACACCGTCCACGTACAACATACCAACGGGATCATCTCCACAATGTCCTTCCTCTCATGATCGCACCTTTACCCGGTCCCTTGCCCGCCTCAAACTATGACGACGTGCCCAAAACCCCATCATTCTCCTCAATGTACCTGACCATATCATCAATCGTGCACACCTTAATCCCCCACTTCTTGCCAAAAGCCAAGCAGTCATCCCTCCTCATCATGCCCCCACCGATCAACTCCGGCTTACCAGGCACCTCATCGCCATCAGTAATCAACTCGCAGATAACACCCACGGGTTGTTTACCCGCCAACCGACACAGATCTACCGCCGCCTCTGTATGCCCCCTCCTTTCACGCACACCACCATCCCGCGCCTGCAACGGCAATATATGGCCCGGTCTCCTGAAATGGCTGGCTTTGGCACTGGGGTCGGCGAGCATGCGGCATGTTAAGCTGCGGTCGGTCGCTGAGATGCCCGTTGTGACGGACGCGTCGGATGAGTCGATGCTGACGGCGTAGGCGGTGCGGTTGGGGTCGGCGTTGTCGGCGACCATTTGCGGGAGGTGCAGGGCTGCGGCGCGGGAGACGGGGAGGGGTGCGCAGATGTAGCCGCTTGAGTAGCGGATCATGAAGGAGGCTTTTGAGGGGGTGAGGGCTTCGGCTGCGATTATCAGGTCGCCTTCGTTTTCGCGCGAGGGTGAGTCGAGGACGATTACGAATTCGTCGTTCGCTGGAAGGCGCGTTAGTAAGGGTTGAGTGGGGTGAGGGGTAGGGTTGCTGCTGGAGTTTGTGGTGCTCGCAGACACGTACCGAAGGCTTGTATGACATCCGGTATCGAGTCGAACGCTGGGTGTGCGGGTGTGGGATTTGAGAGCTCCGTCGCGTTGCCGTTGACGCCATTTGTGCCGTGGGCAGGCAGCCCGTTCTGGAGTTCTGCAGGCATGTTTGGGGTATGACTCTGGTCCAATTACTTTCGCCCGGTATCGCTTTCTCTTATAGTAGTCGTGTCGAGGGAAGATGTATGGACCTTGACCGTTCCGCGTGCTTGCAAAGCGTAGAGCTCGCTACCACTTTGCTTAGAAAAAGATCTCGTAAGCCACCGGATGTCCGCGCCTGGAACCTCGAGGTATGCTAAGCTGTAGAATGGTGCGTCTTGTGTATGCTGTACGTCCAAATGTATACTGCGAGACAATGCGAGAGTTAATTGAAGTAATACGAGCGGAGTCGACGGTAGTGTTGTATGCGGAACCGAGTTGGATGTGTATCACGAGATTCCTGGAAGGAGGGGGCCGGGGACCTCGGAGCTCAAGCCACTCATCGGCCATCGGGCTTGCCCCGGGCCGCCTCCGATGAGTGGCTTGACCATGGAAACACTTTACGTCCTGCATAGTACATGCACCTGTCATTTTCGATCTTTTACAAAGGAAGTTTATCATATACGCCTCCGATGAGGCCTCCGAATCCAGGACATCCCTTTCGCGCAATGCATACCTGAAACCATTAAGCTGCGGAAGCTGTGGAAGACATGCTGTTGATGCTGCGCATGGCAACTTCCTGAAGTTCCAGGACCACCTGGGTATATTGACCTTGCACATGCTCCGGTATGTACGACTGGCATTCGAAAAGGAAGGCGGTCGCTGCAAGAATGGCAGAACGCTCGTCCTCTCGATTGACTACGAGGCTTGCCGTGGGAGCTTGGTGTCCGCGGATCGGAAGAACTTGAGTGTCCCCACCTCCCAGCAGCGCGTTGCCCTCGCCCAACTCAACGCCCTTGGCTTCCATCTCCGCCTCCTCCTCGGTGTCGTCTAGCTCAACTCCATCTGTTTCCGAGTCCGTCTCTTCGTCGTCGTCCTCTCCCTCTTGTTCAAGCATGTATTCCTGGAGATCCCGCTCTCGCTGCCTAGCCCACACGTCAAGCTCCTTGCGGAGACCTTGTAGGACGGTGAGCGATTTCGCATCGTTCTTTTCCGTTGATCGTTTCAACGCATCACTGTATATGCTCTCCTGAATTGCCACATTTGACGTCAGCGTATGTCTCACATTATATCTGTACACTGGGGATCTTACCGCGGCGAGCCTCCATTCATTGCCATCGTCCCAGTTATCCACAGCGCCCGTAAGAAGTATGCAGTTTCTGATAATGTAGTACGACGGGAGGGTTGTGTCGCTGGGGAAAGTCAGTCGCATTACTAATTTTGGCGGATACTTTTTTGCTGCCACTTACGTTAAGTTGTGCTTAGCTGCCGATATGCAGCCAGCTATATCGCCGCTGTCGAAGAGCGCTTCTGCGTCCTCGAAGGTCTTCCGATACAGTTTTGCTGCTGCGTATGGATCACACATTTTCGCCTTTGTTACGTGAAGGTTTGTGGGAATTCCAGTATTGCGTCAGCAAAAGTACAAGGGAGAGCAAATGTAACGATGTAGACACCAGAGTTTGGATGCCAAGCATTGCGTATAGGACAACAACCAACTTGTTTGCTACGCGAGGAGGCAGAACATTTTCACTCCGTTTCACTTTACGCCGGCATACCACTTTACTCAATTTCTGCACATTTCGTTCTGGATCTCGGTCGCGTCTGCAGTATCCAGCAACCGTATTAGCAACTGCGCCGTAAGTTACTCCTCGCGCAAGATGAGGTCCTCGGTCTACATATATGACAGTCTGTTCTTAATGATATGGAAGAGAAGACGTCGAAGCAACTACCGTAGAACCAACGCCCAGCATCGTCGTGAAATCGCCCACCAAGCCTACAGCGCCTCTGCAAGACGACGCCCAGCCCGCTCGCAGTCTGCAAAAGTAGAATTGTAGAGCATTTGGCGGTGGTGCAGCCAATACGTATGTCTCTAACAAGCCATTGGGCAGGAGCAGTGGCAGATTGGCGTTGCACGTCTTCACGGAAGATGAGGATGATGACAGGGAAAACAAGGGCGGCAGGGATAAGTACAATAAGCATGTCTGAAATGCGACGTATGAAGCACGGTGTCACGCAGCGCACGCCTAGGCAGCGTATGTTGACTGTGCATCATGGACGTTGTGGTCGCAGTCGGGTAGTAATCTACGTAGTTCCAAAGAGCGATAGTTGAATGGTTATTGACATCTCAAGGTTCTTGCCTCGGTCGGTAACTCGGATGTGGCGCTGCCGATGTGGCTTCAGGTTGCGCCTGCTGCAAGAGCGGTGTCTGACAAGTCTGGATATCCTTGTACCAGGTGGGCTGGATGACAGATGTCGTGCGCCGATGTGGCTTTGGAACACGGCGTTCTCTCCCGTTCTAATATGACAATTGTAATCACATGCAAATCTTTCAAGAATGGAGATGTTGCGTCTTGTGTACCATTGTAATAAATCCGATCTATATCAGATACAAGTGAGGGTATAATCGAAGAAAACTACCCGCGTCGGCGCGCATTAAGGCGCGTCGGCGTAATAACGCCACGTATACAAAAAGGTTGCAAAATATCAAACTCCCATATACAATCTCAATATCGAAGCAGACACAGTCTACGAAGCCCGCTTATCGGTGACGAACTCCTTGTCATCGTGAGCCGAGCTGCCTCCGCTATGCGGCTCTGAGACACCCATAGTCTCCGGGTCAGATCTCCAGAAGTCCTTCTTTCCGCTGGCGAGCCTCTTAACCCACGGGGGGAGGAGGCCGCCCTCGAGACGCCAGGTCCAGTGCTCTTTCTCGTCCTTGTTGGGGGGTACAATGCGACCACCAGAAGCCAGCTCGACGAGCCAGACGGTACCGTTGATGAGAATGTACGAGCAGATACCGGCGATCAGACCGTAGGCGATGGAGTATGTGAAGGGCATCACTGCGATGGTGAGGAAAGCGGGGATGGAATCGCCGAGGTAGCGCCAGTTGATGTCCTTGGCCGAGGTTGCCATGAGTGAACCGACGATTACCAGGGTACAGCCGGTAGCCCAGGGAGGGATGGATGCGAAGATCGGAGCGAAGAAGATGGCGATGAAGAAGCAGATACCAGAGAACATGGCGGTAAGACCGGTCTTGCCTCCTTCAGAGATACCGGCACCGGATTCGATGTAGGCAGTGACTGGAGGACATCCCATAAGCGATCCGATACTGATACCGAGAGCGTCGACGGAGTAGGCGATGGAGGAGTTTTCGAAGTCCTGGGTGCGCTCGTCGATAACACCGCAGAAACGAGCCATGGAGTAGAGGGTACCAGTGCCTAGTGATGTCAGCATATTGCTCAAAAAGCGTCTAACGCGCAACTTACAGTCCAGAATATCGACGTAGAGGAAGGTAATGAAAGCTAGACCCCATTGACCAGCGTGCTCCGAGATGTTCCACTGCTGAACAGCAAGAATCTTGCCAATCGGGTGGAAAGTAACGACCTGCTTGAAGAAATCGAAAGCGGAGTTGCCAGTCTCGGTGTACGGGAAGTAGGTGACGCTTGTTGGGCGAGGCCACGAGATGATGGAAACGAGGAGAATGCCGATGATGATGGCACCCTTGACGCGGTACAGCATAAGCATGACGGTCAAGACACCGCCACAGAAGATACCGATCCACATGGTTGGGCTCCTCATCTTGACACTTCCTGGGCAGACGCCATCAACCTGGTCTGCGGCAACGCAACCGGCGAGTTCGAGAGGGGTCGATTGAGCACCGGTGATGAGACCGATACCAGCGGAGTAGGCGAGACCAATAATAGTCAGGTATAGTCCGATACCGACACCGGTGGCGAGCTTGATACTAGCAGGAATAGCTCGTGCAAGCCATTGTCGGATACCCAGCATAGTAAGACCAACAAAGACAAAACCCTCGACGAATACGGCAGTAAGAGCGACCTCGTAGGGGACCATGCCTAAAAAGCAATTAGCAACGTTCCATGAAGATCAACTGGTACGACCCGTGGCGCCGGTAAGCAGACCCAATTAGGGAACCGCATAACGGGGATACATAAACGGGAACGGGGAATGGCGCATTGGTGCAACGTACCTGTACCATGGAAACCAACTACGGTGTACGCAAAGTAGGCGTTCAGCCCCATACCCGGAGCCAGGGCAATGGGCAGATTGGCGAACAAGCCCATGCAGAAAGTAGTCAAAGCGGAGATGGCAGCGGTCGCAGTAACCAGATCACGTCTGACTTCCTGGACACAGAGGGCGTACTGTGGGTTGGTCTCGCAGATGGGGTCGTCAGGGAGGCCTGGGCATACGCAAGTACCACCAGTGTCTGACACGATGGATGCTACACATGGTCATCAGATGCGGTTCTGTCAACGACATCCCGCAATGGACATACAGTTAACAGAGATGATATAAGCCATGGCGAAGAAGGTGGCTAGTCCCGCGCGGAACTCAGTGAAGAAGTAGCTCCCCTTGCGCTCTTTGGGCTATAGGGCTGTTAGTGCATGTACCAACTATCGACACGCGATATACATACATGCCCTGATCCCTCGAGGCGAAAGTACCGTCCGACGAAGGAGCGCGCGACCGCGCCATTGGCCTTGTGAACAAAGCCCGACATTGTGGCAGAATTTTTTCTCGACGGCACCGCGGTTGATAATCGCAAAATTGAGTTGAGTTGTGTGCGATGAAGAGGTACAGTTGATGCGGAGTAGACCGGCGAGAGGATCGACGTCAAGCTCTGCTCGATTTACCAGTGAAGGCGAAGCGAGTCTTTTAAGTCAGGGTGCGTTCGTAGCACAGGGCCTGGACGGCGGATGTGAATGAAAGTGTATCCCGCACCAAAAAGATAAGGACCAGCGGCGACGACCAACCCTGTCGCGTTCGACCTCCCGCGAAGAACCAATGACCCATATCAGGCCGATCAAGCCCTGCTTTAGTTGGACTAGTCGCGCGGCCCATGCGATTCCACTTCGCGGCAAGCTAGGCTGTCTCGGCGTGCTGCGCGTGAAGGTGACCGGCCGCTTCCCTCAGCCTAAGCCTGGGGAACGTAGAGTGAAGTCCCGGGCACGGCAGCTCGCCTTTCGCGACACCTCATCTTGGCGCATACACATGCTTTTCCCCCTCGAAGCCACGCCAGCCCTGGCGTATCAGGGCGGACGCGCTATTCGGAGGTCGCCGGCCGGCGCCCGCACCCACAACCTGTGGAAGTCGCCTCTTGTCCACGGGTATCTAGGACCGAATCTCTGTTATCGTAGCTGACGAGACGCACACCACGGGCGCACCTCGTCGATTGCAAATGGAATCTTGTCAATCTTCGGAATGGGTCGCTCGTGTTGGAAATAAAGGTGGAGCTAGTCCATGCGACGGTTGACGGAGACTCGCCTAGTCGCGTTAATGAAGTTCTGATAGCACCAAGTGGAGTCCTTGGAATGCCGTCAGCCTTCCACTGCCTGCAGCGCTGTTTCGCCTGCATATGTCGTCTGCCTTCGTCCTCCATTGCGCAACACGACCATCCATATTGACGTTGGTGACACCCGTGTCATCGTTGGGTCGCTTCTCCTCACATGCAGGAGCGAACCCGGCAGCCAGGGCATTGGGGATTAACTGCATGGGGCCGCAAATATATCGCAAGGTGCCCCTTGCCCAACATTCACCAACAAACGGCTTTCTACACACCACCTCCGGGGAACAAACACATCGCTTACTATACATACGATCTCGCATGAACGCTACGAGTATACTAATTGGCACGTTCCTTCTGCTGGGGTAGTCTACGCCCACGGGAAGAACTCGCGGCCATCGAGATTCGATAAACTAATCAAGGACATCTAGCCTGCTTGTTTGTTCTTCCTGCCTCGAACACCACCATCTCGACGACTAATCTCAAGAGTCACACAAGAACGACGTGGCTACACCAATCGCCCTCCAGCCCTAGACCATGCCACCACGATACCTCGCCTCGCAGCATCTCAAAAGCAATTACGCGTCTTCTGGCCTTGTGGGACTCCACTGGGCCACATCTAGAATGCCCCGATCTCAGGTTTCATGGCGCTTGATGCGGTTTGCCATTTTATCCGCGCCGCAGCTGTGCTGTCGCCGGATCTAGTGTAACAAACAATCCACATGGAGTATTTTGAGCGCGGATTAACGCGGCTTTCCCGATGCGCCACGGGCCGTGGTTGATCTGAAACTCGCCGCGGGGATCTATGAGGATGGATATTGTCGCAAGGCCTCTTACTTTGCATAGGCCTGCTGTGGAGATTGTTGACGGCGTGGTCGATGTCCTGACACCATATCGCCGATACCGGAACCAAGCATCTCGGCGTTGGCTGACTGCGATTCAGGCTGACTACATCGCCATGAAGAGAGCTGAATATCCAGACGCCACGCAACAAGCACAACGATTGTTCTAACCGATATGCACTACATGAGCTGAACGACGGTGCGGGGATCGTCGCCTCGCTCCTAGCGCTGCCATGTGGCTACCCCTTACGCTAGCAACATGTATTGGCTGCTAGGGGAAATGCAATATGCATCTTGCTCTTTAGAGCGCCTCGCTCACGTGGCATAGGAGACGTCACGATATGGCATTGTTTGGAAATGATAAGCTTAATAAGCTGGTTATCCAATCGCTCCTGCCGTGTCCTACGGCTAAGTGATTTCCGTTCTGTTGGTTCTTTCGTTTGGCGACCTTAAATAGAGTCGCCTTACATATCAATCGCAATGTCAGGAGCGACAAACTCCCCTTCGGCTCAAATATATCCTCATCGTCGCCCAAGGCATTCCATATCCCGTCGATACTTGGGTAGCCATCGGGCTGCTGGTGTCGCATTCATCGATTGTAGCGCGGCCTAGAGCTGGACTAAGTAGACCTAGTACGAGTGATCATCGCATCCCGGAGTAAACATGAGCGTGGAGAGTTTGAAATGAGGGGATGACGAATATAGAGTTTGCGGAGTAAATCCTCTGCCGTCATACTGGAGTGCGATCGCGCCGTTGGTCCGCTCCGTATACACCTGCCGCAAGTTCACCTAGCTGACCGTATTGACGGTTGAGTCTACCTCATCAGAGGCAAGGGCCAACGTGGAAGGTTTCGCATATGTCAGCCTCTAAATTCATGGCGCGCGGAAAGCCTGAGCCATGCCACCTTTAGTTATCAGCTCTTTCGAGACCCAGATGCAAGCAAATTCTGTAAGATTATCCATGAAAACTACAGTTGCCGCAATGTCATACAAAACACATCCCGCGAAGCGCTTCAGCTCCCTATCTATGCCGCGTCTCCGTAACAAATCTTCGTAGCCTTCTCCATATCAACAACCCCATCCTCATCCATAATCTCCTCCGCCCTCAAATAAAACAACGACCACGTCTCATTCAACTCCCCCTCCTGCATATGAACCTGAAACATCAGCGCATCCCGATACCTAATCCGCCATTCATACCACGTCTTCGCTTTTGGCGGAAGCACCCATTCGTGATTCGGTCCCAAGCGCATAGTCCTCTCGCAATACGTGTAAGCCAGGAGAGTTTCATCTTTTGCACTCCGTGCATCGGCGACGAACATGATATTTTGGTTTATGAAGTTTACGCTGTATTGGTTGCGTAACAGCCAGTCTTTGCATTCTGATGTGGATGTGAAGGGGGAGGGGAAGGAGGGGCTGGAGGGCTTTTTGGTGTAGTCGGTGCGGGCCTTGGGACTGGCTTTGGAGGAGGCGATGTAGAAGGGGGAGAAGTCGTCGGGCATGTTGTGGGTGGCTTTGTGGACGAACTGGGATGGGTGTTAGGCTTGTGAGAGGGGTGGGGTTGGGAAGAGGTAAGACTTGCGGGCTTTGCCTCGTCGGCGATGCAGAATAGCATGACACCTGTCATCGTGAGGGATGATGTAGTCTCCTGGCTTGTTTGGAGTGAGACCGCCGGTGTCAGGCACTACCTGCTTAGGTAGGTAAGGATGAGGATGTGACTGTGGCTGGCCTTGAGCATGTGAGCGGCCGTGGGGTCACGAATTTTCAAGGGACGCAAGACTCATAACGATGTTGACAACGGGACGTAAACTTAAATCTAAACCCTTCATAGAGCATTGGTTGAGATGCATCTAAAGAACCCTCATTGGTCGGGTGCCTTTAGGATGTGGGGTCGTGATGACGTACAGGCAGTACATGGACGCCTAAAACGCATTTCAACGATCAAAGTCACTGGGACGGTGTAAGCATGTGATGTGTGTCTGGTATCTAATGGAATGAAATTACAACTACAGACGTCGGGAATCAGGAAGACTCTGAAGTAAAGTTGAAGCTGCAATAACCTGACCGTCGTTGTCGAAAGCAACATGTCAACCTAGACAGACCACCTTCTGCATCTCCGCCTCCTACAGCCCACCCCCTCCCAAATTCTACCTCCACCAAATCAACTCGCAGACCACTCAACGCCCCCAATTCCCCCTATACAGCCCATCTAGTGCATCGTTCAAGGCGTTCAAGTCACTCCAGTCGCCACTCAGTCTTCCATCCGCACTTACACCTTGAACCTTCCCATTTTTTAGATCCTTCTTAGCTTTAAAAATGAGTACAGACAAGACGATAACGACGATCACCAAGGCCAGAACGATAGTGCAGCAGCAGCAGATGTCTTCCTCAGAATTCGGCTTCCGCTTCGGCGTCGTGAGTGCAGTGCTGCGTGTAGTGTATGGGACCTCAGCCGCTGGGGTGTGGGTTGTGCGTTGGGCTCCTGCGGCATTTGACTGCAGCGTGGAGAGAGCGATGTTCGTAGTGTTGGAAGCGTTTATTAAGTGCGATGCGGCTTCGATGTCGTAGTTTGGGTCGCTGGGTGCGGAATGGTGGTGTGATGAATGGTGGTTTGATGAATGGTGGACGGGCTCTGGTGAGGAGAGGATGTGATCGTGAGTGTTGTGTGTTGGTGGGTGGGAAGCGGTGCTGCAGAAGTTGTCTGATGCAGTATGTGACGTGTGATCATGCATAGAGTAAGAAGGTGGGCAGTCGAACGACTGATCGTATGACGTGAAGGTGTTATCGTCTGACATGGCTGCTTTGAACTCGAAAGTTTTGTATGAAGGTCGTTTTGAGTTTTGTGAGAGGTGTTGTAGTAGTGGAGGAGTTGTGAGTGAAGAAAGTAGTCTTGAAAGTATTTCAGATCTTGCTCATAGTGGGTTCTACCATACATTGTAATAGCGAACCATGGGTCTACGATCATGAGTCGTCCACTTCAAACATCAGCATTACCGCCAACGGGGATTTGAGCAGATTACACCGACCTCACAAAACTTAGGCAGAAGCGCAATGACCGCCATCCACTCTGAGGTCGGCACCAGTCATGAATCGGCTCCCTTCTGCTAGCAAGAAAACTGCTGGTGCTTTGAAGTCATCCGGTACACCAAGCTTCCCAAGCAGTGCGCCAGCCATCCACGTCTTCTCTACGTCTGGGTCTGCTGCGAGAAGTTCGTCGGTCATCGCAGTTCGTATATACTGTGGATGCAGTTAGGGACATGTGCAGATGTTGGGGTGCGAATATACTTACACCTGGCGAGAGCGTGTTCACCCGAATACCATATTGGCCCCATTCTTGCGCTAGCGAGCGACACATCTGATGTACAGCTGATTTGCTGGCATTGTACGCTGTGCAAGTAAGACCCTAAGGTTGTGGTTAGATCAACTGAACGCTTGTGACTGAGATAGATAGTCGTACCCTATTGGCAACCTGACCCGACATACTAGCGATGAGCACGATGGAGCCATCAGTACCCTTGTCCTTCATTATCCTCGCAGCTCTCTTGACTGATATGAACGCGCCGACAACGTTCACTCGTAGCATGCGCTCAAAGTCCGATGCTTCGTAGTCGAGCGCTGGCACTCTTTGTTGGATACCCGCGCATGCGACCATACCATTCAATGGCGCGCCTTGCTCATCAGCCTCGCGTGATATCTCATCGAGGACTTGGGTGACTTCCGCTTCGCTAGTAACGTCACATCTGCGGTATGTTGCTGTAGTGCCCAGTTGTTTCGCAAGCTTTGTCAAGGCTTGCCATTCTGTGTTGCTTGGCTCTGGGAGGATGTCTAGGCAGGCTGCGTGTCCGCCTGCTTCCACGACAGCGAATGCGAGGGTTATGCCGAGTCCGCGACCACCTCCTGTAATGGCGATTGTCTTTCCAGCGAGGGAGAAGAGTGCCGGTGTTTGCGCGGTTGATGTTTGAGTCGTGGATGAGGCAAGAGCGCTAGTGACCGTATTGATGGCTGATGGACTCATTTTGCTTCGTGGGATGTCAGAATCTCCTAAAGATCAAGGACTGGTGTACGAGAGGGTCTGAATGCAAAGTGTTGAAGAGCGACGACGCAAGCAGCTTCCATGTATACCGAAGCTCATGGAATATATAGACGCGCATTTTCTCCACATTCGACATGATAGCCGCATATGTGGAACTAATTCGCTGGACTTCCATTGTCGCAGATCCAGCGAGGCGCGTATGTGGATGGACGTTGGTGTTCGTAGCTCTAGTGTGGGACCGGAAGGGTTCAAGCAGTTTCCGAGTTGATCGAACGAGCAATCCTAACCGCTGCCAAGAGAAACAACCTCGTTCAAGGTACTGTTTGGCTGCGCATGCGGCTACCGCATCAGGAAGAAGGAGGTCGAGAGATGTCGCCGAAATCTGTTGATTCCTAGTATAGTTGTGCTTGAAATGCTCGAGCTCAGCAAGTAAAACATACAGGTACCCGTGCTCTTGCCTGGTGCATTGTTCTACTTTCCCGTCCAACAGACACTTGGTACAAGAAATCCGCTACGTTAATCAGGCAACTTCGAAAGAACCATCGATTGCAGCTGTGCGACGGTGCCCTACCATGCGCGTTGCATGTCGAAGCCAACGCCCTAGGCAACTTCCCGACCACCATCGATCGCTTGACAAAGACTGACAGGCCGTACAAACCGTAGCGGGGTTGTCGTACCCTGCAAGCTCACCACCCGAAACCACCACGTTGGGCAAGTTCTCAAAAAGCCGTCGATTGTGGCGAGGATCCGGTGCAGCACCCAACATACCCTCTTCGGCAACTTCTGGCAAAACCATCGATCACGGCTGCCCTTTCGTGCCCTTTCCACGCGACGCCTACTGATCCACCCAATGACCGTCCAACGCCGTCGTGCCCTCTGTGCCCCTTCCTGCACGCCACCGGAACCCTCAAACTACTCTGTACAGTAACTTCCAGCCCACCCATCGATTTCTTCGGAGCACGTCCATGCGCATGGTCCCCTTTCAAGACACCGCCGCAGGGAATGCGCGTTGTAGCGTCGTACGTCCAGGCGGTGAGGTGGTTCACGAGACCTTTCGATTGAGGCTGAATGACGTCGTTTGCTCCGCCCGCGCATGAGCTTATCGAGCGCGTCCACCGCTTCCACCGCTCCCACGATGTACACAGACTTCCTCTGCCAACATGATCCCTTTACCCTAGATCTCCTTTTGCCTGTCTCTTTGTGTGTTCTCTTCCTGCGCGTTCAGTCCCTGCATTTCCAGCGTCCAGCTTTCAGCGTGTCGAGTCATGTCTTTCCTCCAGCAAATCCGCAACACGACGCGGCGCTTCCGCCGCACCCAGCTGCACAACATCGAGACGATAAAATCGCAACCGTTGGCCGAACTATCTGGTTCGCTGGGTGATCTAGGGACGCTCCTTCCACTTATGACAACCCTCGTCCTGACAAACTCGATATCGCTCCCGTCCACCCTCCTCTTTACGGGCGCGGCAAATGTACTCACAGGCCTCGCCTTCGGCATCCCGCTACCAGTACAACCGATGAAAGCCATAGCCGCAGTAGCAGTCGCACGCCAATTCACGCTGGAACAGAATGCCGCTGCGGGGCTAGTGGTCGCGGGCCTAGTGGGTGTGTTCAGCATCACAGGATTAATTAACTGGGCGAATCGCGTAACGCCGATTCCAGTGGTAAAGGGGATTCAAGTTGGAGCAGGCCTATCGCTATGCTTAAGCACAGGGACAAAACTTCTTTCCTCACTTACCTGGACGGGACCATGGTGGGGCGACAACCTCTTCATAGCCATCGCAGCAGTCGCCCTCTTACTATGCACATTCCCCTACCCCCGCGTACCCTACGCCATGATAATCTTCCTAATCGGCATTTTCCTCTCCTTCGCCTCCCCACAAAACGACAAAGTCCAGGTACCACACGCCGCAATCCCTATCCTGCATCCCTCGGCCAAAGACTTCCTCGAAGCAACAACAACAGCATCGCTAGGCCAACTCCCGCTCACCTTACTCAACTCCGTCATCGCCGCCTCAGCACTATCGTCTGACCTGCTCCCCTCACCGCCTTACCCCGCCGCGCCCACCGTAACAGAACTAGGCATCTCAGTCGCGGCTATCAATCTACTCGGCTGCTGGTTCGGCGCCATGCCCGCATGCCACGGTTCCGGTGGCCTGGCCGGCCAGTTCCGATTCGGTGCTCGGAGCGGGAGCAGTATAATTTTCCTGGGGGCAGTCAAGTTCATGCTAGGGCTCATTGCGTTTTGGAAAGCGGATGCGATTATCAGTACTTTGCATGATATACCCAAGGCGCTGCTGGGTGTGCTGGTTCTGGCTGCGGGCGTGGAACTAGCGAAGGTGGGGGAGAGTATTAATACCGATGCAAGGGATCTGAGGGTGCTGGAGAGGGATATGACGTGGGATGGGAAGAGAGTTAAGGAGTTGGATGAGAGGGAGAGGAAGGAGAGGTGGATGGTTATGCTTGTTACGGTGGCTGCGCTGCTGACGTTTAAGAATGATGCGGTGGGTTTTGTGAGCGGGTTGGCGTGGCATTGGGGGTTTGTGGCTGCGCGGCGGATTGAGATGGGCAGGGCTGAGGAGCCGGTTTGGAGGAGCGTGGGAAGTGAGAGGGGGGAGAGGGCGGGGTTGTTGGCGCATAGTGAGAGTGATACTGTTGCGTAAATGAGCTTGTCATCACAGAGGGGTCGGGGCTAGATGCCGCCGGTCTTCATAACATGATATACATGACATTTCAGAAGTCTCACAATCACAAACACTTCTAGTAAAAACCATCAAGTTCAACATTCTAGTCATATCAACGTAATGGTACGCAAGCTGGCAAGCGGACCATTGTTGGATTAGGTGAGGTTGTATGTACATACATGTAAGAAACAAAACATGCTTGATAAGATATGTGCTCAGCGCTTGAGCGTATGAGAAACAGTAGATCTAAGTCTTGAAAAAAAGGTATAAACGATATCGCACCCAAACATGTACACAACTAATATGTCGTCATGCAGCGAAAACGCCCATCAAAACGAAAGTACGAAAAAAACAGCAAAGCAGGGTCATAAAGGACGATTATGCTTTTTCTGAGATCTCATGTGCTTGAGCCGGTGGTGTGGTCGTTCCGGTAATGGAAGCGTACCGCGCGGTCTCGGTGTTCTTCTCGGCGTGTTGCTCGGTGTTGGAGTTGAGGCTGCTGCCGACGTGCGAGGGCTGGTCGAGATGCTGTTCCTTGACGGCGCCGGCGTGGGCACCGACTTCCTTCTTGTTCTTCTTCTCCTTCTTGGGCTTGGGCATGCGGAGGAGGTAGTAGAAGGCGAGGGCGGCGACGACGTTGAAGATGACGTAGACCCAGAGGATACTGTGAGGTTGAGTTAGTAACAGGTTCGAAATGGAAGATGTAGAGAGAAGTGACTTACCCAAAGTTGCGCCAGGCGTCGCCGTAGTCGGAAGAGATGCTGCGCAGGAAAACATTGGTGTCCTCGATAGCGCAGAAGTTGCAGTCGGTCATGGCCTCGGGGTTGGTCATCTTACCACCGGCAGATGCTTTCCAGGCCTCAATGTATTGACCGCAGTTTTCGCCTTCGCGAGGGTCGAAGTGAATCAACTCGTTCTGCGCGCACTGCACATTGGCGTTGGCCAGGCCGACAGACAGCAATCCAGACACCATGTACGTAAAGGGCGAGACGCGGTACATGAAGATCCAGAAGCGGGGGAAGGTGGAAGGCTGGGCAAGGACACCACAGAAGATCAAGCAGAGCGAAAACATCAAGTTGGCAATGTTGCCACCAGTCTCAGCGGAGTCGATACCAGCGATGACCATGTGTGTGAATGTCGACGTGAAGATCAGGAACATCCAGACGAAGAGGAAGAATTGGAAACCACGGTAGGTGACCTTGTCGGTTTGCGCTGCGTTGTTGTACAGGCCAATGGGGTAGTACCAGCAGAAGTAGATGATCACGGCCATGAGCGAGTTCCATGGGAGTTCGACAGCGATGTTGGAGATCATGAAGGCCTTCCAAGAGTAGGTCTTACTGGGGCGTTCGCGGACCTCGTACAAAGCACGCTGAGTGACGAAGTGAGGCATGATCTGTTGGACCAATTGACCGAAGATTGTCAGCAACATGAAGATACCGAACATTTGGTTCTGGAGACCAGTCTGGGTATTGGGCATCTGGAAGAGGGAGAAACCGATGAAGAGGGCCGAGAGCGTGCAGAGGAAGGTCTTGGAGTAGATGTACGAGGGTGTGCGCCAGTACTGGGTCCAGACACGGGACATGGTCTCGCGAAGTTGAACCATGAAGGGGGCGGCGAACTCGCGATAGGCAGCCTTGTCCTCTCGCTTCTGAGCAGACATGGTGCGTTGAAGAGCCTCGGCTTGGCCACGTTCGGATTTGAGTTCGGCGAGATGGCGCTTGACCTCACGGTACTCAGCGGAGTCGCGCCAGGTCTGGTGCCAGTCGATGTCTGTGTGCGAACCGGGAGCGGCTCCAATGACTTCCAACATCCATTCAGCAGGGTTGGCGGCAGGCGGGCAAGGAGGACCACCGTTGCGAACGAAGTAATCGACTAGGACGTGCGAGTTTTCACCGACATCTCCATAGTAGACAGTGCGTCCACCACGGGCCAAGAAGAGAAGACGATCGAAGCGTTGGAACAACATGGCACTAGGCTGGTGGATGGTGCAGAGAATAGCCTGACCGTTCTTCTTCAACTTGTCCAAGAGATCGAGAATAGCCCAAGAGGTTTGCGAGTCGAGTCCAGAGGTGGGTTCGTCCAAGAAGAGAAGAAGAGCAGGCTTAGCAGCCAGTTCCACACCGATAGTAAGACGCTTGCGCTGCTCAACGTTGAGACCTTCACCGGGGACACCGACGATGGCATCAGCGTATTCAGTCATCTCCAGAAGCTTGATAACCTCCTCGACGTATTCGACCTTCTCTTGACGAGAGACGTGTGCGGGTTGGCGGAGGACGGCGGAGAAGGTGAGGGCTTCACGGACGGTCGAGGTGGAAAGATGGAGATCTTGCTGCTGAGCGTAACCTGAATGCGAAGTTAGTGTGTGTTCCTAATGTTAGCGATAGTATGGAGACATACCTGTCTTGCGCTGGAAAGAGTCGTCACGAGGCTTGCCATCGACCAGCATCTGACCGGTAATGACACCCATAGTAGTACGTGTAGCCAAGCAATCCAAGAGAGTCGTTTTACCAGCACCAGAGACACCCATAAGCGCAGTCAAAGTACCCGGCTTGACCCATCCATCAACGTGGTCGAGGATACGGCGAGGCTCCTTCTTGATAGTGATATCGTAGCAGACGTCTTCCCACTGGAAGATGGCGGTTTGGCGCTCGATAATGGCGATGTCGTCGGAGCTGTTCTGAACAGAGGCATTGCGGGCGGGTTGAGCGGCTTCCAGATCTTCTTCGGACTTGCTCTTGGGCGCAGGGAGTTTGTGGCTACGCTGGAAGACAAGGACTTCACCCTTGGACTTCTTGGCGGTGATGAATTCAGTACCAGCGAGGTAGACACCCATGAGACCGAACATGAAGACCCACATGATGCCGAAGTTGCGCCACTTGTTCTTTGCGTAGTAGTTGAAGGCCGAGTTGATGTAAGCATCACCACTGACGAATGGCTGTCCGGGAACAGAGCCGATGGTCCTGCAAGCTTGTTGAACACCAGAAATGTCTTCGTAGCCGGGGCCGAAAGGAATGAACTCGTTGCACTCAAATTGCCTGTTGTGGAACTCGTTGACCATGAGAGCCTCGAAACCGTAACTGACAGGGTTGATGTAGCGGATCCACTTGGACCAGCCCAGCATGTAGCTGGGAGGGATAGCGAAACCAGTGTACATGACGAGACCCAGAATGAGGATGGCGGCGGGTGCGAGAGCCTGGACAAGAGAGCGGGACAGGGAGGCGATGGAACGGAAGAACATGGACATGACGAGTGTCAATGTGAAGGAGATGAGGACGAAGAAGAAGAAGTTGCCGGGCTCTCGTCGGAGGTTCGTCATGAAGTACAGGACCAAGTTGAAGGTGATGGAATTGACAATCTTGTATGGCATGTCGGTCAACATACTGGCAAAGGCTTCAGCGGACGGGTGGTACAGGGCGTAACGAGAGTGCTTTTCAACAATGGGACGTTGAGCGTAAAGGGTCAGGATCTCGAGGGCGGAACCGAAAGCGTTCATCAGGATGGCGAAGAAGAGAAGGGCGGATCGAGAGTAGAAACTCGAAGTGGTAGGCTGGAGGTTGTAGAAGACGGACGAGATGACAAGACCCATGATGGAGTTGGCGATGAGTTGCGTGATGGTGATACTGGGGTCAGCCTTCAAGCGAACGAAGCCTCGCCACAAGCAAAGCTTGACCTGCTGCATGTACGAGAGAGTGTATGGGGACTTCTCGCGCTGACCCTTGGCCTTCTGCAGCTGGCGCGATTCCTTGAAGCGCTGGCCAGCCTCGCCACCAATGGGGTACTTTTGCTCGTAGGCTTCGATCTCTTGAAGGAGAGCTGCTCGCTCTGCGGACTCGGCCCAGCGTTGCGCGAACTCATCCGGAGTGCGTGGGACACGGTTCTCGAAGCCCTCGCGAACAATACGCTCCAAAGGACTGGTCATGGAAGTCAAGAAATCGGCATCGGTCTGACGGTCAGGGCAGAGGAAACCCATGTTGACGAAGAAGGCCTTCGCGTCGGTGGTCTTTCCGAAGAAGATTTGGCGACCCTCGTAGAGCACAAGTACCTTGTCGAAGAGGTCGTAGGCAGCCTGGGGTGCCTGATAGATAGCGACACAGGCGGTGGTGCCGTTGATCTCGGTCTCCATGCGGAGGGTCTTACAGAACTCGATGGCGTTGGCGGAATCAAGACCACGGGTGGAGTTGTCCCACGCTTGCAGTGGCGCTCTGCTGAGGGAGGCTTCGGCGATGGTGACACGCTTTCGCTCTCCACCAGAGACACCACGAAGGAAGTCGTTACCGACACGAGTGTTGACGGTGTGAGAAATTCCATACAAGGCCATGATGACATCGCGCTGGTGCTCGGCGTACTGTTTTACACTGACGCCGCCTGGAATGTTCCTTGGCCGACGAGCTTGAGCAGCAAAGTAAAGAGTCTCTCCAACAGTCATCATAGGGAAATGAACATCGACTTCGGCAGTGTAGATGGCTTCACCGCGGTAGTTCTTGTTCATGAGCTCTGGGCTGACACCCTGGTAGTTGATGTGCGAGCTTGAGTCGACGACAAAGCCGTGCGTCTCTCCAGTAATAGTCTTGAGGAAAGTCGAGCAACCAGATCCAGGAGGTCCAAGAACGACCAACATCTCGCCAGCCTCGACCAAACCATCACAGTGCTGCAAAATGTCGATCTTGCGGCCCTTGTCACCCATGATCTTCTTGACAAGCGCAGGTCCATCTAACCACACGTTGCCAACAGTCTTTTGGTAATCGGTGTCGGTTCCGAAACCGTGGACGTTGAGATCGCGGAAAGATACACCCGCAGTTCGTGTAGGAGGCGCATTCTCGTCATTCAGCTGTAGGTTCAGCATAGCCTTGGTCCATGCTCGTGCGTTGAAGTGCTCGCCATGGGGGTCCAGAGCGGAATTGGGTGCCGCGTTGAAGGGATTTTGGTTTGCTGCAGATTGTTGACTCTGCGAGGTAAGTCTGCGGGCCAATTGGTGAACGGCCTCTTCTCTCCGAGCAGCCTCGGCGATTTCGTCGGCGTCATGTGTGTTGTAAGATCCATCCTTGCGGTCGGTGTGGTTGTTGTGACTTTGTGGCGAGCCCTCGACAGCTGCTATTGTGGATGCATCTGACTCTGCTTGCTCGTTGTCGTTGTAGTGGGAAGGCTGTCTGCCGCCCATCTCTGGTGGTGGAACGCCGCCGGATACAGCCTCGCGGTCCATGTTGGTTGTGAAATTGCCGACTAGACTCATGGTGGGCGAGATATCGCCACTTGGGGGCAGAGATTAGTCAGGCGAAGGAGAAATGCAAAGAGGGACAGGTATTAAAAAGGTAGTAGAGTTTGTATGGCAAGGACAACAAGGCCAGGCCGGGGGGGATGAGGTAGATGATAATAAAGGTAGCAGCAGCTACTGCTAATGAGGACCCAGGCGCCGCCCCAGTAAAGGATTTGGTCCAGCGGGCGGCGGACTGACGGCTTGGCTGGCGAGCACCAGCGCGCCGGATGGCCTGCCTGCCCGTCTCCGGTTCGCTTGCATCGAGTGGGCTAGTGTCACGCCTCGGATACGGCGTGGATACGGTATCCAGAAGGTCCAACAGCCAATCACGACTAGCACACTACGGCCACGCGATTTCGACTCATTCTACATCCACCACTGTCGTTTCGCGAAGAACGGTCCGAACAAAGTTACGTCCGTCGTCGTCGATCGCCGTTCGGCCATGCGGCTCCGAGTGCCCTCTCTGGTAACCACAGTGGTGGAACCTGCATCGCCCACGGAGTACTGTACACTGTCCTCTGTACACAGCACCATATCCGAGCTAGTTCGTCCGACCAACGCCCGCGGCTGCCCCTAAGCCTTGGCCAAGCTCACATGCAGCCCATTTGCCCTCTGCGATAAGCGAAAGAGAAAGCGAATCCCCGCCAGACCCCTAGAGAAAAAGAAGGTCTTACAATCGACTGTCTCAGGCAATCGAGGGCTGCACACGCCATCGCAACACTGCACGCAACCGACAGAAACAAACACATCAACACTGTAACCTCATCTTGACGTCGTGCATCTCCGTTTCCCCTGCGCATGCTTGCATACTGCGCCAATCAAACGCACCCCGGTACGCCCCTCCCAAACGAAAGAGCCCCAGACCCCTCCCTCGCACAAGCACAGCGGACGAAAATCGCAGATCGCGAGATTCAGGGTGAAGGCAGAGTGGATCCAGCCCCCGGAGTGGTTGCGTGGCCATCTGCTCGGTGTTGGTGCTGCATCCGGTTCGACCTGCCGTTTCGTGGTGTTGTGGTGGCTTTTCAAGGTTGCCCGGGTGTTTGTGCTTGCACCATCTTTCTAGCGCGATTCGGCGGCGGATGTAGCGTCTTCCGTGGGACCGGAAGACGTTCAGCCCTACCCTGACACCTGCCATGTGCGCGGCACGGTGATGGTTCAAAAGGCTTCCGGGTCCCGTTGCTTCTCGATACTGATTCTGGAATCTCCACTGCTGACTGCGGCTGCTTATCGTCGTGCCGCAAGAGAGGGTCTGTGAGGTCGTTGGTCCCCGGGATACGGCGAGGATAGCGGATCTTGGCCTTTCCGATCGCCGGGGGCTGGTCTGTCGACATATACCTCAAATGCGCGCGCGGTATGTTGTTGGTATGTACTGCTGACTGTGCGCGCTTTTTCGAGCTCGTTGTATGCCGTTTAAACGGTGTGCATCTTACGACTGCTTTATGCCGGTCAGCGCTGGCATGTTACGCCCCGGGTAATATTATGCCACTCACAGTCATCTAGGCAGTCATCAAGCCATCGATCGAGCTACTGGACTTGCGATAGGTTCAGTCAGTACTTGGCCTCTTATCTGCAGACGCCAGATATTCCTCAACGATCTGACGACTTCCTTGCAGCAGGGCCTCAGGCAGCGATTCAACATAATCAGTGCGACCAGCTGTTGCCCAACTTATCGCGATACAACAAGATGGCCAAGAGTGCGACATTGAATCCTATATAACGGTAGCATCCTTACTCAGACGTTCGTCAATTCCCACCGGTCGTATGCCGTGCAGCTCGTCGAGACAGCTACCGAAGAATCGACATGGCGATATTCTTACCCGAACCGCTGAGTGCAGCGAGACAGGAAACGAATTCAGGATCAAACCGCTGGATTTTCCAACATCGCCGAGACGTGAGAACCTATATATGTCGTAGCATTCAAAGTCGGGGACATGAAGGGGTCCGGCTTACTATTGCGTCTTCCCTCCGCACAGATCCGTCGGTCCGATTGCCCACCCAGATATATCTCTAACGTTGCGGGACGGCCTGGGGTAGTGCTGATGAGCTTATCGAGACAACCGACGGCACGTCTGAGCAATGGCCATGCCGTTCTTTCCAAGATTCATTGTCTTATGATTACTTGAAGGAAAATTGAGTGTAAAACACGCGACGTAAACGTGCACAGTATATCCATCCATAGATCTAAGAAATTTCAACTTACATGCAATCTCCCCAACTTATTTCCCATCTCACAACTTCCCTTTCTCCTTCTCCTTCCCCTCCCCCTTCTTCTTTGCCAACGGCCTCAAAATACACTGCTGCGTCATATGTGCCACACACCTCCCCCCCTCATCCCAAACCCAACCCTCGCCAAAACTCCTCCCCTCCCCCGCTACCTTACACCTCAACTCCCTCAGCAACCACCCCTCATCCAATTTCAACTCCTCCGTATCCACAAACAGCCTCAAGGAGAAATCCAAACTAGACACCGCACTCGCATCCCCAAACCACATATGATTGAACGACAAGGGCAGGAACGCGATGCCTAGATCCATGAGGAAGGTCAGGGACGTCATGTTGTCGGTAGCAGTAGGGAGATGTTCTCTGCTGCGGATCCAGTCCGCGGTGCTGCGCTCCGATGGCGCGAGCGTGTCTTGGGTGTGCGGTGCTGAGGCGGCGATGCCGTAGAGGTTCTGGGTGAAGACGCTGTCTGGGACGAGGCGTTGGTCGTAGAAGTGGGAGATTAGATTGAAGCCCTTTTCGTGGGCTTGCTTCAGCTTTAATGGGACCGTGCCTTTCTCTACGAGCGCGGTGAAGGCCGCCTCCGGTGTAGGACAGTCGCGCCAGTTTGGGTGGGTGTGGGATTGGGAGTAGGATAGGAGGGATGTGGGTGAACTGATTATGAAATCGGCGGTTGCGAGGAGGCATATTCTGCTTTCTTCTTTTTGTCCTTCTTTGGGAGTGGTCGTTTGGCTTACTTCGACTTGGCGCGTTGCAAAGGTCCGGGTTTGGCGTACAACTCGTACGCTGGCGCGGAGAGGTCTGTCGGTGTATGCTGGACCTAGGTAGTTTCCTTGGAGGGAGTAGAGGTTGTAGCCATCTGGTACGGTGAGACAGGCTGCTTTGCAGGCTACGGCGATGGTGTAGCCGCCGTAGGCAATGTCTAGTGGATTGCCCATTTTCTGTGGTAGGTTGACCATTTCGAATTCGTTTTTGCCGGTTTGGCGTAGGGCCAGTTGCTCCATGAACGGCTTTTGTGGGGGATTGGGTTGGTTGGTCATCTTGGTTGGATGGAGAGGTTTGACGTGTGTTGGGTGTGGCGAAAGTGTCAGATCGGTGTTCGAAGGGTCAGCAGGCAACGCTGATCTAGTGCGTTGATTTTAAGATGGCGGATCTCCAATGATAAAGCTTGTGATCGATGTATATATGCTATTGGGGATGTTGCGGCCGTTGCGGCCGTTACGGATGGAAGTCGTGCCGCTAGCGTGATGCACCAATCATCTAACCTCGGCAGGACTTCCCGCTGGTAAGCAGCCCCTCACCCAGATCAAGGTATCGTTGCGAAGTGCTCTCCAGCAGCAGTGACTTGGCGTAGGTAGGGAGAAAGTCTTGAACAATATTTCGATCAGTTGATAATATACAACATGCATTTACCCTACATCACCAAATCCTCTTGGCAACCATAGCATACCGACTAACATGCCCAAAACTTGTCCCTCTCTCCCTCTCCTCCGCCTCCTTCTTCCTACTTTTCTCATCTCTCTCCCTCAACCTCTTCAGCGTCTCAGGGTCGTCATCGTAAATCACCTTCCTCTTCTCCTCATCGACGTCTACAACGCCCCAGCCCCCAATTCTCTTACCCCCTGTTTCCACGTTCATCTTCTCTCGCTCCTGCATACCGTGGTACCGTTTACGGCTGACAGATAGGAGGAGCATACCGAGAATGAGTTTGAAAGCGAGGAAGATGAGGTAGCCGACGAGGAAGACGATGAGCATGGTGGAGCCGGCGATGAGGTCGTCGAGCGTGTAGGAGAATGGATTGTACCAGGCTTGGGAGGGGATGCCGGCACCGAAGGAGGAGCGACCTAGGGCGCGGCGGAAGACGTGGTCGATGTGGGCTAGTGCTGCGGTCGTTGTGGGGGAGGATGTCGGGTCCGAAGAGAGGGATGTTGATGTGGTGTGGAGGGGGGGCGGCATGTGCATCGCAATGAACATGTGGTAGGTTTGGATGGCAGCACGTATGAAGAGGCATGACAGTGGTATAACTGGCAGACCAAGACGTCGTGTCAAGTCCGCGTCAGCAAAAGCCTGTGAAGTGTTAGCTAGCAAAGTATACTAGGATTTGACGGCTTACATTAGAATAGTAGTCCTTTGCCAGAACGTCAAAGAACTTGCTATACACCTCTGGCTTGTACTGATTGAACTTGGTAATGTACGCATGCTTCAGCCAATCGACAAACATCTCGCTACCCAACACCAGCAGGAACGGATTGAGTACCTGTGCAATGTACTTTGGAAAGATAGTAAAGCTCATAGGTATGATACTCGTAGCCTTGAACGAGGTCGCAGAAGAAACGTTGGCAGAACCTGTGAACATGGCTGTCCAAGAGGTGTCGCTGCTTTGAATGCTCAATCCACCAACTTCGACGACGTTGCGCATTGCAATGATGAGAAGCATAAGCCAGAGCTGGAAGCGCTCTACGATATCTGCGCAGGTGATCTGGAAAAGGTTCTCCTTCTCAAATTTCTTGAACACCGTGCCCTTGATTTCGACGAACTGGTTGGACATCAAGAGCGTCAGTAGTGCGTTGGAATAGGAGTTGACGGCCACGTTCAGCGTTATCACTTGGTAGAACAGCGCGGTAGCATGAGCGACAGTGTATACCAGTGCAAGTGCGAACATTCCAAATGGACGGAGGACCTTGCTCCTGCCGTCGGGATTACGGTCTAGCGTCTCGCGAGAAAAGAGGCATTCCAGCACATCTTGACCGACGGCTGAGAGCAGGCGATCACAGACCTCGAGGACGTTGTAGATGACGTACAGCTTGATAGCTGACTGTCCACGAATGCCATGATACATGCGACTCGCGTCGAAGCGCATCAAGACGAAGCAGCTGGCAATGACCAGTAGACCTTTCAGTATGTCTGCTTTGTGGCTGGGTTGTAGTGTAGAAGGCGTGGACTTGGTACGGCGGTGACGGAATCGGGAGTTTCGAGGCCGGCGCGCCCTGAGCTCGTTCATGTCTGGAAACTTGAAAGTCGTCGACATCTGAGGATTCTGCCTAGCTGTGGCGTTGGCTGAGGGAACAGTTGAGGAAGATGGCTTCCGTGACATGGACGGAGGCACCTCCTCGGCTGGTGTTGGTAATGGTGTAGGGCCATCGGTCTGCTTTCTGCGCTGCCAAAGGCGAGGAAGGCCATCGTACACAAAAGCCCAAAGATCGCGAAACTCCTTCACGATGACTGAACCCCACCATTTGACAAGAATGGCGATGGCGAGCAGAAAGCGAAGGGGCAGGATTGTCAAGACGTGCATCCATGCGTCCAGACAAGCTAGCGCTCCAAATCCAAGTATGCCCTCGATCTTCAGCGGTATCCTCAGGAAGTTGAGCAAGCGCTCGTACTTGATCTCGGATGTTTCGTATGGAAAGTCTGTCGTCGCTGGGCGGTATATGTACAATGGAGAGGGACGACTCGCAGAGAGTTCTAGGGAGAGAAAGGTAGGCATCGACATTGGCGGCAGCGGGAGGGCGATTTGTGTCGGAGAGACCTGCTCACGTATCTCGCGCGTCTCCTTGTGTCGGTCATGGCCCTTGGACGTGCCATCTCTGTGGTCCAGACTCAAGGGTGGAGGAACATGCCTGCCATGCCTCCGATCCTCAGTCTCTTGTGTCTGGTTGTGTGTGCGTGATCGCGACCTTGACGTGGTCCTTCGTGGGAGCGAGGGCGTAGTGACGGATCGTGAGGAAAGCACCGGGCGGCCGTTGCGCAGTTCAGTTGCAGGTGTCTTGATCAGGACGACTTCTTTCTCTCGCGGCCCACCCCGCCCTCTTGATCCCTTCTCTCTCTTCGCCTCGCCATTCAGCTCCACCGGTCGCTCTAGCACAACACCCAAGAGCTTGTTGCTGCCCTGGTCATCGCCATCTTCCAGCGGCGTGGCGTCTTCCAGCTCGTCTTCGAGAATCGGCGTGGCTGCTCGGATGGGAATGCTCGCAGGCTCGCTCGTGAGTTCCTGGATCTGGCGAGGACTGAGTTTGAGAATCTTCTCGTGCTCGGAAACGCTGCTCCTCCGCCGCCCGTCTCCAGGCCGCTTGATAGGCCGTATCTTCTCGCTGGTGTCGGAGAGAATGGCCTCTTCGTGTACGCTGGGCCTCCTGCTCGGCGCACTGGAGCTGATTGCGCTGTTTGGCTCGGCTTTGGCGCCATTCGTCATGTTCTGCAGCGGTTCCTCGCTTTTGGCTTCATGGGCGCGGCGGCCACTCGGAGGTGCCACATCGTCCGGTTCGGGCGTCGAGGAAGGCGTGGGGAGCTGGCCCAGCGTATGCGATTCACCGTATATCCGTGTTTCTGCCCCGTTCATGGCGTGAGGGGCTGAAGTTGCTGGTTGAGTGCATCGTGTATTGCTCGAAGTGGTGCTGGGCAGTCGCGACGTGTTCGGGTCGAACCGAGGATCGGAAAGCACGAACACTAAGCAGACCCCGGCCACCACCAACCTCGTACCCTCAACAACCCATCTAGGTGAAAGTGCCTCCAACGATTTCATTATGGATTGAAGTCTATAGGAACAATGCGCCACACCTTCAATGGAGGTCTATGGTCTGATACTCCACTTAGGCGGCCTGATTGCCTTGGGCCAGATGCTTTCGCCTGCCTAGCCTGTGAAGGTCGATACAAATGACAGCGAGCCAGGTCATCGCCAGGATAAGAAGACTCACTGGTCTCGCAGTTCACATATCAAATGGTAGCGAGGGTAACTCACAGGTACTCATTGGGTGTTGGTGGAAGCGAACGGTACAGCAGAGCTTGTCTTCGTATCTATGACACCTTTGACAGGAACCTGCACCAAATATGGAAGCAACGCGACCTCGACATGCGGAAAAGGGTTCATCCATCTTCAGTGTCATCAAATCCTCGTTTAAAATTCTACTTGTCGACTGGAGCGAGATGAACATCACCACCGCGTTAGTCGTAGTCAAGACAACAGCGGGAAACCGACCCTGGAGGCAGTGACGAAGGTTTTCTTGGTGTCGACAGGAAGAGCAACAAGAGGGTGAATATACCTCATTCTCATAGCCGGATGAGGAGTGCATCAACCCACCCACCGAGTCTACCACATTGCTCGTTGCCGGCCTCAAGGATTTCTTGCAAGACTGACTTCAAAGGAATCGGACAACAACGTCTAATGCAAACAACCGGATTACGCTTCGCGCCGCTCCGGCCGACCCCGTCGCATCCGCCCCGCCCAGGTACGTTGGAAAGGTTCCTCGACGATCTGGAGATGTTTGGGTATACGAAGGTCTCGTCAAGGCTTGCATCCAGACAATCTCAGACAGACCTTCTTCCGCAGACCTCGACTGTACGTCGTACAACGTATATGCCTGCTTACGCCATCTGCATGCTCGACTCGACCGCGACCAGATGCTCGTATATCACCGCACTGCACATCAATATAAAAGAAAGATGGTACAGTTTGGCTACAATCTATGCGATTTCAACGCCGCGAACTGCGCTATCTGATCGACTCACCTTCTTTCCAGCTTCTATTGACTGCGCATACAGCCGAATCCATGTCCGCATGCGCCGTACTACCCGAACCTCGTATTCCTCACAAGCACGGAAAGCTACATACAGCATCAAGTTTGGTACGCCTAAAGTCACTATGGATATGATATGGCAAGGGTCAGCATGTGTAGCTTATCGTAAACAGACTTCTGTAGCTATCCACAGGTTCATCCATGTTACTCACACACCACATGGCATCTCGCACAGCAGCCCGTAGTACAACGCTACACTAGACATCAGCAACACCAAAACACTTATCCCCAGAGTATAGTCAAACCCTTGCTTTTGCGAAGCTATACCAAACTCATAGTATGCTGCCTTAAAAAAGCAAAGGCAACCTCCATGGGTGCCCGTCGATCAGCACCCGATCTACGATATCCTTCATGCACGACACCTTCAGCTTCTTCTAGAATCGCCACTGGGGCGCTCGAGGAAGTATTCTTCCGTCCAATACTTTCATAGTTGGGAATCGGCAGATCGCCATGCACGGCACGTGCCGCACAGCTGGCTGATATCGGGCTAGCTAGGGCTGAGAGTATGTGGAGTGTTGGGGGTTTACCCGATGATAACCCGGGTGGTGGTGGTTGTGGTTGTGGTTATGTGTCTTTCTTCTTCGCCCTCATTCTGCCTCCTTCCTGTTCGATCGCCAGAACGAGTGAGATCTAGTGGGACTTGATGTCGATGATGCCTCGACTGGAGGATGTCGACACCTGCATGGAACATACTTCTCTTTTTGTGACGTGCATGAGTGAGGCTGTACTCTATTCGGTAGAAGTCACATCAAGATAGCTTCCATAAGATCAGCGAAAGCCGTGTTGTGGTGGACATAAACCCCATATACGAGCAAGCCAATAGACCTGGCACAATGGCTTCACACTCCGTTCAAAACACGGTGAGTCGCTACCGCCTTCCTTCGCCCCTCATAGACTCACGCTCTTCGCAGCGGAGATGCTGGTGGTAGCTGGGTCTACGCGGGTCCATGCAGATCCGACTGCGCTCGCTACACACCACTATACCAAGTCCACAGTGCGTCCGTTCTCGCATGGAGAGTGTTCGAGACCAGAAGCCAGTCAAGTGACTGGCTCAGTAGCAAAAGAGCCCCAGCCTGTAAACAAGAACACTATCTGTTCCTTCCCTCATCTTCTGCACACATATGCCGTAAAACAACCAACGGCACAGTTAGCCTGTTCGCGGGCAGACAAAACAACCATCTCGCATGCTGCCTGATTCTTGTGGGCTTCGCGCTCGAACTTGAAGTCTTTTCGCGAGGGACTTTGGGTGTGTATATTGGTGGGCTGATAAGTTGATCACCGCGGTTGCTGCCTGAGTTTGAGTCTGGGCCCTCATTCACATCGCATCACTTGTTCCGTCTTCCTCTGCCTACACCACTGCATCTCGGCTGCAAGACGACAATACCTGCGCAGAGCCGGCACGCCACTCCTGCCCTCGATGCATCAAACGCCATCCTTGAAACCATCGCTGGTTTGCTCTTCCTCGTTGCTGTTATTTCCTTCTTTGTATTCGTTGGGTATTTCTGCATGCAGATACTTTTCCGCTGATTACCATCGATGCGACATGTAGGTAATGTCAGTCCCACACTTACTCTACGACATGAGTTCTAGGGGGTTGAAATCACTTGTAGACTACTTGTTGTGACACAGGAACCCTTGAGTCGTGGACTATAAGGTAAAGCTGCGTATTGTTGGTTCTTGACCTTTTACTCGTCGAGTATGGGTCAGGAAAGGTGATGGTTTGTCGTTTATCAACTAATCTTTTCTTGCTTAAGTCTTCGTCAATGATGATTCGTTGATCCTGCTTTCTCATCGGTACAGATAGGCTTGATGAAGGAGATTGCCTGGAGTTCCTGATGGACCAACCATCTGTGTTCGTGCTATTGTCTAGGAAACGATCGGCCCCTAAGAGTACGTCGTCCTGATTTTGCCACCTATCGTTGGAGTGCGAGCGTGTTCTAGATGTTGGGTGACTGTTACAAGGCTATCAAAGTGGTTGCCCATAGTTGTTTACAGCAAGTTGCTGAAGACCCTTTTGACCTCGATGTATTGCTCAAAGTGCGATGCCGTATGGTGGCGGATCGTAGTCGGGACGAGAATAGATCACTCCTGTTCAAGGGGAAGAACAATCACCTGGTATGATAGACTGTAGAAGCCTACGTTAATTCCTTGATCTACATGCTCCACCCCGGTGCAAGCTGCAGATATCTGTCCAATCTTTCCCTTGCATGGTGTACTCGTGATCACGTTGGCGGTGTGCTCCACTTATGAGAATATGGACAGGGTATGGGCGATCATCTCATCAATACCGGCCTTGACTCTTTTCTGGCAGTTTTCCGGGGTACATGCAAGCCACAATCATCGATTCTTTTGCCCGTCAATACAGCGATCAGCACGAGTTTTCCCGTCCTGGACCACGCATACTATCGTGGTACAAGAAATCATCTGCACACCCCAAACTCGTGCGTGCTGGGATATCCATAGCTTACGTGCATGAAGTGGAGGTATTGCACCTAAGCGATGTAGGGATGTGAAGACAGTTTTCGTCAGGCTTTTCAGCCACGTTAATGGCGACATAATCGACTCCCCCAATTTGGTTCTGGAGAGAAGGCTTTCAGCATCTTCTCCGCAGCATGAGTCCAGGCATTGCAGGACCACTCTGCGCTGGACGTTATTCAAACGCCACACACTCTTATATGTAGTCCGTGCAAACAGGCTCTGGTTCCGATAGCGCTAAGAATAGGCAAAAGCACTGCTCGCAGAGAGAGCTCAGCTGGAATGTCGAAGATAAGTGCTTCACATCCTGTGGGTGGTCCTCAGATGCATAATAGCGCTAGTACAAGACTGGAGTTTCCGGATGTGATGCATTCGGTAGTCAGCATTGCGGGATGTAGGTCCAGCCAATGAAGGCAACGGAGGACCACCAAGGGGCTCTTGACGCCCGCCTGTTGCAGATTAATGGATCCTTGTATTAAGCGAGAGTTGCAGAGGAGGTAGCTCATCGTGATCCTGATGTTCGTGGTATTCGACTTGGTTGTGCCGCCCGAGCGCATTTCCGTAGGGCTGGATCCCAAGACGCTGGATAGCAGCGATCGATAGCCGTAACACCACTGACTGGACAGACATTGGACTGCTTCGCGGGTGCGAAACCAGCAACAAGGCCTTGGGAACGGGGAAGCTGTGGGTAGAATACCGTTGCTCGAAGATTGGCTGCCAACGCATAAGGGGGCTGCGTCAGGAGTTTGCTGTGCCGCATGCAAGCAGGATGGGCGTTCGAAGGGTTGCCCTGGCATTAAGGTACCGACACGAGGTGTATGCGTCTAGGGAAATGAGCCACAACTGTAGCCGGATCCAAAGGTGATTTGGAGACAGCACTAGGGTGGGCGCACTGCAGCAATAGGGACTGACGAGGCTGAAGAAACCCACCTGGCTGCATGAAGCACGCAGTAGCCGCGTGGTTGTGTCCACATTGCTGCACGTTCGGAGGAAGCGGAAGTCTTCTAGAACGCGACCTCTTTAGCCTGGTGTGGGTGTAGTCAGCCGAAACTTTGTCCCTACGCGCACGCGAACAGACACGTGCAACTGCAGCGGAGTGCATCCGCGAAAGGGTCTGTTGTCTGTGCCCACGGTTGATGAGGTGTCGTGCAACATTATGTCAGTGGGAGGAACTGTTCGGGCCGGAGCGGTGGTGGACAGGGATTTATGCATGTCGACTCAGAAGGTCCCGAGAACAAGAATGCTATGACAATGAGGCCGTGGTGTTCGTCGCGAGGAGTGAGAAGTGAGA